GGTGGAGTTAAGAGCTCTCGTAAGTGGAATCGCAAGTGCTTGATAAATACTGGTCTTGTTCTCTATCGCATCCGCTAAGGTGGACATGGACACATTCTCCGCCAGTGCCAATACCAGTGCCATTCTAGCAGTGCCATTCTACCAGTGCCATTCTACCAGTGCCATTCTACCAGCGCCATTCTACCAGTGCCATTCTACCAGTGCCATTCTACCAGCGCCATTCTAGCAGTGCCATTCTAACAGTGCCATTCTAGCAGTGCCATTTTACCAGTGCCATTCTACCAGCGCCATTCTAGCAGTGCCATTCTACCAGTGCCATTCTACCAGTGCCATTCTAGCAGTGCCATTCTAACAGTGCCATTCTAGCAGTGCCATTCTAACAGTGCCATTCTAACATCAGCCTCTACCAGTGCCATTCTACCAGGGCCACTAGCAGCTTCATATCGTTCTAGGCACTCCAGCATAACGCGAGTCAGAGGCCACCTATAACTACCCTATTCTAACAAGCTGATCATTCTCATTTACTTGCAATATAAAATTAATCTCAAGGACCAATTGCCAGTTGCATTTTAAAAGCAAACAATAAACATGCAAATTAAAAACAAAACGAAAAAAAAGCTTGAGATATTGCTTAAAATTTAAAAATGTAAATTTTTAAATTTAAAAAAATAATCAAAGAGTAATTTTAAAATTAATTAAAAAAAAACAGCATTCACATCTAGGCGAAACTCAATGAATTAAATAATATTCTTCAAGCAAAGCAATTGATTGATTGTTTAATCAACTTTATGTATTAAATCGAAGGGATTCTTTGCCCCCCCCCCCCCCCCCCCCCCCCCCCCCCCGCCCTCTGTTCTCTGAGTTCAGAGAACAGGTCGGGTCGTCCTAATGTCGACCCTAATGACTGGGATGCTCTCGGACGTAAGTTCGAATCCTCGTCACGGCCCTTTGTGGATTTGTTCGTTCTCTGAGTCTCGAGTCTATAGAATAGTACTCAAGCTGTCAAGCTGTCGTCAGCATTGACAGCTTGTCAGTGGGGCTGTTGGACGCTAAGATGCTGTCAGGTTTGTGTCTTGAACTGCAGGGTCGAGGAGTAGTTACTTGACAGGTTAGAGGAACAATTTGACAGGTTAGAGGGAAATACTTGACAGGTTAGAAGAACAATTTGAGGTCATGCTAGAGGGACATCTCAGTTAGGAATTATAGTAGTAGTTCAACGCTATGTTGAACACAAGCACAGGTCGGTGCGTTGAACACAGCACAGGTCAACGCGTTGAACACAGACACAGGTAGATGCGTTGAACACAGACACAGGTAGATGCGTTGAACACAGACACAGGTAGACGCGTTGAACACAGACACAGGTAGACGCGTTGAACACAGACACAGGTAGACGCGTTGAACAGACACAGGTAGACGCGTTGAACACAGACACAGGTTGACACGTTGAACACAAACACAGGTAGACGCGTTGAACACAAACACAGGTGGACACGTTGAACACAAGCACAGGTCGACACGTTGAACACAAGCACAGGTCGACACGTTGAACACAAGCACAGGTCGACACGTTGAACACAGACACAGGTAGCCGCGTTGAACACAGACACAGGTAGCCGCGTTGAACACAGACACAGGTAGCCGCGTTGAACACAGACACAGGTAGCCGCGTTGAACACAGACACAGGTAGCCGCGTTGAACAGACACAGGTTGACACGTTGAACACAGACACAGGTTGACACGTTGAACACAAACACAGGTCGACACGTTGAACACAAACACAGGTGGACACGTTGAACACAGACACAGGTTGACACGTTGAACACAAACACAGGTCGACACGTTGAACACAAACACAGGTGGACACGTTGAACACAGACACAGGTTGACACGTTGAACACAAACACAGGTCGACACGTTGAACACAAACACAGGTGGACACGTTGAACACAGACACAGGTTGACACGTTGAACACAAATACAGGTGGACACGTTGAACACAAGCACAGGTTGACACGTTGAACACAGACACAGGTTGACACGTTGAACACAGACACAGGTTGACACGTTGAACACAAGCACAGGTCGACACGTTGAACACAGACACAGATAGACACGTTGAACACAGACACAGATAGACACGTTGAACACAAGCACAGGTCGACACGTTGAACACAGACACAGATAGACACGTTGAACACAGACACAGGTTGACACGTTGAACACAGACACAGATAGACACGTTGAACACAAGCACAGGTCGACACGTTGAACACAGACACAGATAGACACGTTGAACACAAGCACAGGTGGACACGTTGAACACAGACACAGGTCGACACGTTGAACACAGACACAGGTCGACACGTTGAACACAGACACAGGTGGACACGTTGAACACAGACACAGATAGACACGTTGAACACAGACACAGGTTGACACGTTGAACACAGACACAGATAGACACGTTGAACACAAGCACAGGTCGACACGTTGAACACAGACACAGATAGACACGTTGAACACAAGCACAGGTTGACACGTTGAACACAGACACAGGTTGACACGTTGAACACAGACACAGGTTGACACGTTGAACACAAGCACAGGTCGACACGTTGAACACAGACACAGGTGGACACGTTGAACACAGACACAGGTGGACACGTTGAACACAGACACAGGTGGACACGTTGAACACAAACACAGGTGGACACGTTGAACACAGACACAGGTTGACACGTTGAACACAAATACAGGTGGACACGTTGAACACAAGCACAGGTTGACACGTTGAACACAGACACAGGTTGACACGTTGAACACAGACACAGGTTGACACGTTGAACACAAGCACAGGTCGACACGTTGAACACAGACACAGATAGACACGTTGAACACAGACACAGATAGACACGTTGAACACAAGCACAGGTCGACACGTTGAACACAGACACAGGTGGACACGTTGAACACAGACACAGGTCGACACGTTGAACACAGACACAGGTCGACACGTTGAACACAGACACAGGTGGCCGCGTTGAACACAGACACAGGTAGCCGCGTTGAACACAGACACAGGTAGCCGCGTTGAACACAACTATAGACCACACATAAAAGCAACCTTGTTATCCTAAGCAGTCACAGGACACTAAATCTTGCACACAAGCATGCATTCTCTTGCTAGAAATTGCAAGACCTAATATCTCTGTAACCTGTCCTCCCACAACGACCGTCGCATTTCGAGCGTATGCGTTACAGACGGCCAGAAATCGTCGTACTAGAAAGATGGAAGCGGCTGGCGAAAGTGACGTACTGTCCCGTTTTCTGTTGTGGGTCCTCTGGCAGGTTAGGAGAGGACGCTTTACACTGGCCGGTTTCTTGACGTTGGGGAATTTTAGGAGGACGGGCTTAAGAGGAAATATTGAAGCCATGCACTGGGATCGAACTCGGTATAGTGCGTGTGCCTGGTGCAGGGCCAGAGTTCGATCCCATATTAACATGGCTTCAGTATTTTTCAGTGTATAGAGGCTTGCAATGTTGCAAGAACTCACCTGTGCCGATGTGATCCGTGTGGCAGGGGACTGAGACTCCGGCCCACCACACTCACTCATTCCCTCACTTCACCTCACTCATCTCTCACTCATCCCTCACTCATCTCTCACTCAGGACCTCTCATGACTCCTGCCCATTTGTCTGTTTTAATTATTATTAATGTTGTCTACGAGGGTGAAGTGTAAGCATTTGATTTGGTAGCAGTTCAATGCCTCAAGGACCCTAGTGGATTTAGTAGGATCTCTGGTTAAGGTACTTATAGTGCATTGTGGTACAGAGCATACCTGGAGGGCATACCTGGAGGGTATACCTGGAGGGCATACCTGGAGGGCATACCTGGAGGGTATACCTGGAGGGCATACCTGGAGGGCATACCTGGAGGGTATACCTGGAGGGGTATACCTGGAGGGCATACCTGGAGGGTATACCTGGAGGGCATACCTGGAGGGTATACCTGGAGGGGTATACCTGGAGGACATACCTGGAAGGCATACCTGGAGGGCATACCTGGAGGGGTATACCTGGAGGGCATACCTGGAGGGCATACCTGGAGGGCATACCTGGAGGGCATACCTGGACTATACCTGGAGAGGGTTTCAGCAGTTCTCCTACTCCCCAAGCTCAGCCTGAGGCCAAAATAGATATATTATTCTGATTTCATTTTGCACTTAATTACCATCAATGTTTTTGGATAATTGTAAATATATATATTAATAATTATAAATAAATTATATATCCCAGTGAACACAACGTTGTAAATGAGGTTAATTAAGTTGAATGATGGGGGTAATATAGCCTTATCTGCCCTTAATATTTCCCTGATAATATTGTATGTGATTGTGTCTCTGTTTCTCTTCTTGTGGAGTGAAGTTTAATTTCTCACTCCGTCTCTCTTATTTCTCTAGCTCTGTCTTGTGTTAATGAGATAAGGACTACACGTTGGTGCTGCAAATTCCAGGATTGGTCTGATATTCGTGGTCTATCTTCACCACCTCACTGCTCGGTTTCCCAAAAGCCATTATTATTTTAGTCAACCTTGCACAATCGTTTAAAGTGGGGTTTCCGGGGTCGTGTTTGGTGTAATATTAGCACCTGAGTTTTTTTTTTTCTTTTTTTTTTTTTGGGGGGGGGGGTTATTCTCCTTTCCTGATTGCATAAAAGTTTCCCCTTGCACCCAACCTGTTCTGTGCAACATGCTTCATTACACACAGAAACCACAATAGCGTGATGCATCACATGAACCAATCCACAAGGGCCGTGAAGAGGATTCGAACCTACGTCCGAGAGGATCCCAGACACTGCTTTATTCTGTAGAAATTCCAGTTGCAATTCTTTTAACCATGTCGTAGCTCAGTCGATTAAGGCAGCGTCTGGGATTCTCTCGGACGTAGATTCGAACCCTCGTCACGGCCCTTGTGGATTGGTTCAAGCTTCATTACTTTGCACTTGCATGAGTTAAACTTTAGTAGCCTTTCGCAGGACCGTTCTTTAATTTTGTCCAGGTCATCGATGAAGTTCTTTTGCTCATCCATAGTATTCTCAAAGCCTTGGCTGATGATGCAAAATATTATGAGAAAGGAGTCTGTTTATATATATATGTTATTTATATATATATATATATATATATATATATATATATATATATATATATATATATATATATATATATGTCGTACCTAATAGCCAGAACGCACTTCTCAGCCTACTATTCAAGGCGCGATTTGCCTAATAAGCCAAGTTTTCATGAATTAATGTTTTTTCGTCTACCTAACCTACCTAACCTAGCTTTTTTTGGCTACCTAACCTAACCTTACCTATAAATATAGGTTAGGTTAGGTTAGGTTAGGTTAGGTAGGGTTGGTTAGGTTCGGTCATATATCTACGTTAATTTTAACTCCAATAAAAAAAATTGACCTCATACATAGAGAAAAGGGTTGCTTTATCATTTCATAAGAAAAAAATTATAGTAAATATATTAATTCAGGAAAACTAGGCTTATAAGGCAAATCGGGCCTTGAATAGTAGGCTGAGAAGTGAGTTCTGGCTACTAGGTACGACATATATATATATATATATATATATATATATATATATATATATATATATAAATAACAGGATTTATTTTGATATATAGACTCCTGTAGGATGGGTAACATCCTGTCACTCTCAAGTCTTTTCCACCACTGACACTCCTGCCTGTTTCTCAGTTTCGTGGGGCACTGTGTCGAAGGCTCTCTGGCAGTCCTGAAATATACAACCGGCCCATCTATCTTGTCTGATCTCCGTCACTCGGCCAGGGAACTGTTAAACAAGTGTTTCAGGCAGGACTTGCTATATCGGTGAACCCATGCTGATGTCGTCAAATCATTTCTCTCCAGATATTCAACTAGACTGTTGTGGGTTGCTCCATCATATCGTGCAAGGGACACTGGTCTGCAGTGTAGTGCCCCTTTCGTATTATAGCGAGATTATAGCCGAGATTATAGCCTAAGCCGCAAATATGACTCAGAACTCCCCCAAAATACCCTTATTTGAAGAATATTTCTTTCCTTGGAGAATACTGCTATCTTTCCTCATATACTGCTATCGATTTCCTCATATAGAAATCTACACAAAATAAGAGCCTAATCTAGCCATAGTCACTAGATCTATAACCATGATGCCATTTGACTAGTAATTCTAACAATGCCTCTGCATTTTCCCCCCCTATTACAATCCAGTCTACAAACGATTGGGGAAACATTCCACATTCTCTAAAATCCAATCAAAAACTCTTGCTCGTTTGTAGCTTCCCATTGGTCTCTCGCAGCCAATCAGAACCCAGTCTAGGTGTTGTGACACATTCTCATTGGACCATGCGACACAGAAGGAGACGACAACACTACCACGGACCACCAGGCGGCAACACATCTTTTGAGTGTTGCCAACGAGAGAGAAGTTTTCATATTACCTGGCTCACCTTGAATACCGACCGGCACAGGAAGTTCTCTTTTACTGGCAACAGTCTGCAAGGAAGGCGGGCATTAGTACGGTACGTGGGTATGGGGGGTTGTACGGTACATGGGGATGGGGGGTTGTACGGTACATGGGGATGGGGGGTTGTACGGTACATGGGGAGGGGTTGTACGGTACATGGGGAGGGGTTGTACGGTACATGGGGATGGGTTGTACGGTACATGGGGATGGGTTGTACGGTACATGGGGATGGGGGGTTGTACGGTACATGGGGATGGGTTGTACGGTACATGGGGAGGGGTTGTACGGTACATGGGGATGGGGGGTTGTACGGTACATGGGGATGGGGGGTTGTACGGTACATGGGGAGGGGTTGTACGGTACATGGGGAGGGTTGTACGGTACATGGGGATGGGTTGTACGGTACATGGGGATGGGTTGTACGGTACATGGGGAGGGGTTGTACGGTACATGGGGATGGGTTGTACGGTACATGGGGATGGGTTGTACGGTACATGGGGAGGGGTTGTACGGTACATGGGGACGGGGGGTTGTACGGTACATGGGCATGGGTTGTTGTACGGTACATGGGCATGGGTTGTTGTACGGTACATGGGTTGTTGTACGGTACATGGGGATGAGTTGTACGGTACATGGGGAACTTCACAAAAGATGAAGCAAGAAAGATAACACGATAAAAGATAACATGAGAAAGAACCAAAACGAGAATTTAAAGAAGAATTCAAACCAACAAAGAACAGCAACAGAAGAAAATAAAGAAATAGAAGATAAGGAATTAGAAAAAACACATAAATTAGCAAAAATAAAACAAGAAAATACGGCTCTTAATGATTAACAACCCGTCCTCTCTACTAGTAGGTCGCTTTTTGAACGTAGTGGCAGCCAACGGTACAAAGGCAACCTACTATATAAAAAATAACATCTCACGTTTTCTCTGCATCGGACTCAATAGGTAAGATGGGTGACTTAGGTGAATACGTCTCTGGGTTAGGTTAGAAGGTCGGGTTTTTGACGTAGTGGCAAGTCTAGAGAACGGGTTGCTATCGATATGTATAGATTATGAAGAATAGACGTGCATGCATCCTTCCCCTTCCCTCTCCCCTATTCCCTTTCCCATGGGGTGGGATGGGGAGGACAACAGTGAGGGAAGGAAAGGGAGGGGATAGGAGGAAGAAGGAGAAGGAAGAAAGAAGAATGGAATGGGGACGAAGTGGAGGACTAGGAAAGAGTAAATAAAAAGGGAAAACGTAAAACCAGAAAAGGAAGGGTAGACAAAAAGGAAAGGTGGGTGGGAAAACAAGGAAACGTAAGAGAAAGTGGAGCAGAAGCAGAAAGAATAGGAGATTAGGAAAGACAAATAAACGAGAAAAGGAAAGGGAAGGAGGACGAGGAGAGGAGTAAAGGGAAGAGGGAGTAAAAGAGGTTGAAGAGACACGAGACCAAAGAGCAATGGCCCTTAGGGATAGAGACTGCAAATCAGGGTAAGAAGAAGGGCTGTGAGAGCTCCTAAATACTTGAGTGAGAGCTGGGAAAGGTTGTGAGGCGCTCTTAAGTACTATGGGAGGGGGAGGAGGTGCTGTTAAGAGCTGTGAAGAACAGTAAACTCACACTATGTATCAACTATGTAAGTATACTGACTGTGGGCGCTATGCAAGGAATTCAACATATCAATACCTATTGTGTTCATATTGTAGAGAAAACGTTATATAGAAAATTAGGAAAGGAATTATGGGGGGACACTACAGGGTTAAATGAAGTTATTGTGATGACTCTGTGAGGATATTGTTAAATATGGTTGGGTATCGTTTTCTATGGGGTTATTATGAAGGGTATTGAGGTTATTATGAAGAGTATTTGGGTAGCATGGATACCATATTGAATATTGTGGTGGGGTACTGACCTGTACCTCACAGGTAGGTACAATATCTACCTATGAGAGAAGTTGGAGATAGGTATTGCAGAGAGCTAATGTAACATATTGTGAAGGATAAAGGGGGGAGGATATTATGAGAAGGATTATACAATACAAGAGTATTGTAACAGCTATTTTCTTTTATATTATGGAGACGAATTGAAAAAATAATATTAAGAAAAATGGATAAAAATGCTCTGCATGAAGAAGCAATTATTCATTTGCATAATACAAATGATTTAATTTTGTTATTACATATGACACTTTTGCCAAGAGATGAATTTTCACAACGATATATAAATCCAACAATATCTATATTTATATAGATATATATATTTATGTATGAATAATATACATATATGTATTATATATTGCCAGGAATCTTTGCAGATCTCTGCACATATTTGCAACTCATCTCTAAATAAGTCCTTTATGATCACATGAGATACTTAGCCAGGAAAATCAGACTTACTTGACCCTGGAAATCAGACTTGCGCGGGGAAACGGGACTTACTTGGCCATTTCAGAAAGTTGAAGCTTGCCGTCCTTGTTTTGGTCGAAGACTTGAAGCTGCGGATGTCAATGAACTTTTTAGTAAAGTTAAGTATTGTTAGTGAAATCAGGTTAATGAGGCGATATATTGTCGATACAGATTTTGTCAGAAATGTTAATAGATTTGAAAATTTTAAATGGGACAAATTCTGTAAATGGGGATAGAGTATGTAAATGTGATACAAAGTGTAAAGATAGAAAATCCAAATTAGATGAAAACGTAAGTATGTTATAATGTAAAATTGACTGTAAATGTTACAGGAATATGTAAATAAGGTGAAGAAAAATACAGTTATTCTGAGGAAGATTCAAAAGTTCAAGTACTCAATAAGATATGTCATTTGAGCATTGATTATATATACAATTAGTTGTAGTTCTTATCAAAGCAGTAACGTTAAATTATTTACAGTCCTTCTCTCTCGCTTACATAACAAACATTTATTTATTGCATAATTTACAATATTCACCTTAGGACCAGAGCCTTTTTTACGTGGGTATTCAAGCTTTAATTAATTGAAATACTATAGTATACCATTAAAACAAAATAGAAGTGGGAATTTCTCACTTTAGCCTATACTCATGTATTCACGGATGTTCACTCATTCAGAGAAGAATCAATGACTCTCTGGGTTAAAATGAAATGATGCACTTACTCATGATGTTAGAGTTTACTCACCATGGTGTCTGTGTACTCAATGAGTTTGTCCTCGGAGACATCCTGGTCTTTCTTAGCTTCTCTCAGGAGGTCGCGTAGGAAATTCTGAAGATTTATGAATATTTAATGTAGATTTTTTTTTGTAGATTTAGTGATGTGAATAATAATTTTTTTCAATGGGTCGTTACTAAAGGAAAATTGTGAGTTTATATACCTATTTATGTGCTGAAATTTTAATGGATTCTTGACTATAATAATACAGATAAATAATGGATTTCAGGAACTCGATATCAGATAATGGATATGTATTACTTTGGAAGTAAATAGACTGCAATTATACTTAGTAAATTATTCCATCCAATATTCCATTATTATACTGACTGTGGGCGCTATGCAAGGAATTCAACATATCAATACCTATTGTATATCCATGGATATATCCATGGATATATCCATGTATATCCATGGATATACACACTGCAAACAAAGGAAGCATTTGTAATAAAATACTGTCAAATAAGTATCACTGAGGCATTACATACTTGCAAAGAATTAGAAGTGAAATAGGATTTTAAGTAAGATATTAAGAAAAAAGGTGATAGGACCATAGAAAATGGAACTTGCATTGATGGGCCCTCAAAAAAAAAAAAATATATATATATGCATTTTCAGTTCTTTTGTTCCGAATCTATGGGTCCTCTTTTTCCAGCTAGAGGTGGTATACCCTCCTTATATTATATATAGGATCAGCCTTATTTGTTTGCTGTATAGGCATATATCACTTTGCCTCGCAACCCCAAGCTTGATATTAAGCTGACATAGAGTTTTAAGCTTCATCGTTTGAATTCCTCTGGGTTCTTAGTAGCGAGGTTATAAAGAGGAGATAGATACAGGTGTGAACATGTACATCTAGGAAAGGCAGGAGGGAATTAGATTCTAATTCAACCCTGGAATTGATGGAAGGAGCCAACGTATTGAGAGAAGGAAGGAAGGAATAGGCTCTCCCTACAATCGACTTGAGAATGGTCCAGGACGGACCGAAACGTCGTCGTCCCTTCACTTTCTAGTGTGTAGTGAGGAATAGTTCAAAGTGCAAAAAATATCATCACCATAGCGAAGCCAGATAGAGGAGCGAATGCCAATAGTGGGAAGAAGAACAGTTTCAAAGTATTATATAGACAGATTAGCAATAGGAGACGGAGCGGAGGATCCCATGACACCAAAAAGTTGAGAAGAATATATCCCATTGAAAGAAGAGTTAAAAATCACCAAGAGTCTGATGATATCAAGAAGGAGGACATTAAGTAATGGTAATGTTTCTCACAGACATAATAACATAGAATTAAAAACCCCTCACTTATGTATTTGTATATTTTCTGTATTGCTATTAGCCGTTGAAATTTAAGTCTCGTCTTAACCACACACTCAGACCTTAATAAAGCACTCAGGAGAGTGCGAAAGACTTGGTGTATATCTTTACATAAAATACTCAAATACGTAAGTGTGTATTTTTATCCTAAGGAGAACATTAGTGAATAATCAGGATGCTGACTAAGCATCCTACAGCATCCTTGATGCCCAATCTCTCGACGAAGTCCTGAGAGAGACGAGGGTAGAATGGAGAAGAAATTAGATAAGTAGTAAGAGTTTTTGCAAGAGGATTTCTTCAAGAGGCTTCAAGAGAGCCTCTTGAAGAAATGATAGAGCGAAGAGGAACATAAGTTCGTAAGTTTTAGGAAAGCTTAGGAATAAGGAAGAGAAGGGCAAATGCCACGGGAACCTTTGACGAGGTCACAGTTATGAAGACAAGCGGAACAGCTGTCGTACATTGTAGATAAAAGTTGATTTAAGGCGACCCAAAGGGACTGAAGCATGGGGCACATATATCCAAGAGTCAAAGAGCAAATCGTCGGTTACAACCTCAATGGCAGAGATTGCTAACATGATCAAGAGCAACCACCTAATTGACCCTTGTCAATAGGAAGGATAGCAAAAGCGTTGTTATAGCTTTCAGGTGGGACAGAACAAGCTGATAGCGACAAGGAAGGATAGCATCGTTAGAAAACAGTCTGAAGGGCTGAGATTAAGGGAGATGAGATCTCATATATTGCTGAGTTTAGAACGCTGAAGCAGATCAACGTGATGCGAACGAGTGCCAGGCGAAGTGCCAGAGAGACCACCACCATGAAGAAAGAGACAGAAGAGACAGATGGAAGCACTCAGACGATGAAAGGGCAGATAATACACGTTAGGACGCTTGACTATTTAAGAAAAAGTTAAGAAAAGTATCATTATCTTGGGTTTGGAAGAGAGAAGAAGATGTCGGAGGAGAAAACCTGTTGACGTTAAGTAGATTAGAACCTAATTATTCCCAGGATGAACAGATGTAATCCTTATTATTCCCAGAATGTGTAGTTCCCGTCTTAATTTTTCCCAGGATAAACAACTTATAAAGGGCTGACAGTTGAATGATAACAGTCTATTTGATCTATTGCGTTCATTACGAAATCTATCGTTATCATTTCCTGCAACATCGCTGGCAATGATTGGTGATTGGGGATCCGGGAGTGCAAGATTTTCAGTTAAATTCCGTTGTTGAATTGAATTGAATTGAAATTTAAGTTAAAATCACAAATGGTCTTATACTTCCAGTAATCAAACTGAATTTAATTCCATAAATTGCAATTCAATATGTTATTTTTATCATAAATATATAGTATTGCATCGCTTAGTGTTACCAACTGCGGATAGCAATGTCTTATAGAAAGTGTTGCCAAAGGCAGCACTTCTACAGGGGTTAAATGTTAATATAATTTGTTTAATCCTGTACTGGCTGGGGTGTCATCTAAGTTATAGATTAATATATCTATATCTACTCTTAGTATCTAGTTTTAAGACACCCAACCCATGCGTAAAGGAAGCGAATTGGCAATAGACCAGGGACCAGATTCACGAAGCAGTTACGCAAGCACCTACTAACGTGTACATCTTTCCTCAATCTTTGACGGCTTTGGTTACATTTATTAAACAGTTTACAAGCATGAAAACTTGCCAATCAACTGTTGTTATTGTTATAAACAGCCTCCTGGTGCTTCGGAGCTCATTAACTGTTTAATAATTGTAAACAAAGCCACCAAAGATTGAGAAAAGATGTACAGGTTCGTAAGTGCTTGCGTAACTGCTTCGTGAATCTGGACCCTGGACTGTCACGCCGTCATGACCTTGATTTTATAGTGTGTGTGTGTGTGTGTGTGTGTGTGTGTGTGTGTGTGTGTGTGTGTGTGTGTGTGTGTGTGTGTGTGTGTGTGTGTGTGTGTGTGTGTGTGTGTGTGTGTTGTGTGTGTGTGTGTGTGTGTGTGTGTGTGTGTGTGTGTGTGGTGTGTGTGTGTGTGTGTGTGTGTGTGTGTTAATATTTACTCCGTTTCCACAAGCTAGATATTTAATCTTACAGTATTACCATCGAAAGCTAATTCTTTATTACAACTTTCTACTAATATTATTACCATCTAAAGCACCTAACCTGCCTACTAACACGGTTGCAATCTAAGACATCTTTACTCTTGCAGTATTGCCATACATGACACCTCTGCACACACTCTACTGAGCAGTATTTGCCATATAAGCCATCTTTACTCACTACCAGCAGTTACTAACTAACAAATATCCTCTACACACACACACGTAAAGCAATCTAAATTATCTGCTACCTTTATTATTAAGCTAGCAACAGTTAATTCTGTTTTATTACAATTATATATATATTTATATGTATATATATATATATATATATATATATATATATATATATATATATATATATATATATATATATATATATATATATATATATATATATATATATATATATATATATATATATATATATATATATATATATTATTAAATATGACCGAAAAAGTAAGATTAATAATTCTAACACGAATTTTCTCAATCTTTCGTACATTACGCTTCACTGTTGGAGGTAAATAAAAAATCACTTCTCCAAAATTCATTTTTATTTCTAGTCTGACGCGACACGGGCGCGTTTCGTAAAACTTATTACATTTTCAAAGACTTCACAAATACACAACTGATTTGAACTTACGTATCACTGATTTTATATCTACATTTGAGTGAGGTGGGAGGGGTGATGTGGCATTAACACAAGACAGAACAAGAGGGGATATTAATAGGGTATTAAAAGTATCAACACAAGACAGAACAGAAACAATAGGTATTGAATAGAAGTGTTTGTAGAAAGCCTATTGGTCCATATTTCTTGATGCTTCTATATTGGAGCGGAGTCTTGAGGTGGGTAGAATATAGTTGTGCAATAATTGGCTGTTGATTGCTGGTGTTGACTTCTTGATGTGTAGTGCCTCGCAAACGTCAAGCCGCCTGCTATCGCTGTATCTATCGATGATTTCTGTGTTGTTTACTAGGATTTCTCTGGCGATGGTTTGGTTATGGGAAGAGATTATATGTTCCTTAATGTAGCCCTGTTGCTTATGCATCGTTAAACGCCTAGAAAGAGATGTTGTTGTCTTGCCTATATACTGGGTTTTTTGGAGCTTACAGTCCCCAAGTGGGCATTTGAAGGCATAGACGACGTTAGTCTCTTTTAAAGCGTTCTGTTTAATACCTATTGTTTCTGTTCTGTCTTGTGTTGATACTTTTAATACCCTATTAATATCCCCTCTTGTTCTGTCTTGTGTTAATGCCACATCACCCCTCCCACATCACTCAAATGTAGATATAAAATCAGAGATACGTAAGTTCAAATCAGTTGTGTATTTGTGAAGTCTTTGAAAATGTAATAAGTTTTACGAAACGCGCCCGTGTCGCGTCAGACTAGAAATAAAAATGAATTTTGGAGAAGTGATTTTGATTTACCTCCAACAGTGAAGCGTAATGTACGAAAGATTGAGAAAATTCGTGTTAGAATTATTAATCTTACTTTTTCGGTCATATTTAATAATATATGTCTACAGGAAAGACTGCTACCAAAATATACTCACATATATATATATATATATATATATATATATATATATATATATATATATATATATATATATATATATATATATATATATATATATATATATATTTACCTGAGTCAGTTTCTGCAATTAATTTCATTCCATTTCAGTGTGCTTTAGAGTTTGTTTTTGTAGAGAGTATAGTTACTTTAGTTAATTAATCTAAATATAGTTAATTGTTGTTAATTAATCTTCAGGTGGGCGGGGGGGGGGGGTATGTTTGGAAAGGCTAATTCTGAGTGGGAAGTTTTTGTCTCGGCATCACTGTTATTGGTAGACCTGAAACTCCTCAGAAAGTATAACTGATCTGAATGCAAAATGATTGGCAAGAAGATTCGACATTATTGATTAACGTGAGATTCGTTATTTACCGACACAAGGGATTTAAATACCGAATCGTAGCTTGAGTAGGATTATCCAGAGGCCCTATCTCTTCAATTATCTATAGTTACTGTCGGGTCCAAAGGCCCTTTCTCCTCCATTATCTATAGTTACAGTGGGATTGTCATGACATTCCTTCAGTAAATTGTCTTTCAGAAACCATCCTATATATATAATATATTATATATATATATATATATATATATATATATATATATATATATATATATATATATATATATAAAACATAATATATATTTTCTTAAAGCACTCTGACTTAGAACATTTAAATGCAGATACGAGCCATTGAAATAGCAAGTCTGTTTACATATGGTAATATATATTTTTATATGTGTTTTTTTTATAATGTGAGAGATTCTTCTCGAGTGATTATATTTTTGAGAGGGGTTGCATGTGTTTGTTTGTTTTCTAATTTGGAGCTAGACTATGGTAGTTGGCGGTGGTTAGTGTAGAAGTCAAAGATGTGAAATGTGTGTTTGGGGAGGGGGGGGGGTGAGGCTAGGGAAGGGGGGTGGGGGTGGGGGTGGGGGTGAGGCTAGGGAAGGGGGGTGGGGTGGGGGGGGGGAGGAATATTACGTCATGCGAAAACTATATTATATTGTATTATAGGCTGTGTATATTGTATTATAGGCTGTATACATTGTATTATAGGCTGTATAGATTGTATTATAGGCTGTATACATTGTATTATAGGCTGTATAGATTGTATTATAGGCTGTATATATTGTATTATAGGATGTGTACATTGCATTATAGGCTGTATACATTATATCATAGACTGTATTTATTGTATTATCGGCTGTATACATTGTATTATAGGCTGTATACATTATATTATAGGATGTAAACATTGTATTATAGGCTGTATACATTGTATCATAGGCTGTATACATTGTATCATAGGCTGTATACATTGTATTCTAGGCTGTATAAATTGCATTATAGACTGTATACATTTTATCACAGGCTGTATACATTGTATTATAGGCTGTATACATTGTATTATAGGATGTAAACATTGTATTATAGGCTGTATACATTGTATCATAGACTGTATACATTGTATCATAGGCTGTATACATTGTATCATAGACTGTATACATTGTATTATACACTATATACCATTAAATATGCCAAAAAACAATCTTACAGATGAAGTTCACTGTATACCTTGCTTACGAAGGTTACAGTGAGTAGTGCATAAGACCTGAGGTTCTCTGCCCCAAGTATAGGGGACACTGGTTGCTGCGAATTGCTTAATTTCCCTTTTTTTTGCAAATAGCAAATAATCCTCCCTCTCGTAAAACTGTTTTAATAATGGTTTATATTATGGGAAAACACGGACCGATGTTCCTAAAGAACCAGGGGAGCTAATGGGGACGATGTTGGCCAGACCACACACTAGAAGTTGAAGGGACGACGACGTTTCGGTCCGTCCTGGATCATTTTCAAGTCATTTTCATCGACTTGAGAATGGTCCAGGACGGACCGAAACGTCGTCGTCCCTTCAACTTCTAGTGTGTCGTCTGGTCAACATACTTCAGCCATGTTATTGTGACTCATCGCCTGCATAATGGGGACAAATTCTTGCAAATTCTTGAGTAATTAGATGCTTGCACAAAGGGGGATGTTTGGCGAATATTGTAAAAAATTACATTTGCTAAAATTCGTCGGGAACAATTGCTAAATCTTGAAAACCGTGATGGTAGTTGGCCAGGAAGACTACCTTGGTTAATGGCACTTAGACAACCAGTTAAGAAACCAGGCAATGAAACTATTGCATTAAGGACTCAAAACGCAGAAATCTGCAAATTAATAAATCACCGTTTTGGACCATTATATCAAATTGGGTGATGGTCCGGCCATATTATAGTCCAATAACGCACCGAAATGTTAATTCTTTCATTGTCAGATGTGGGGATTGAGTGTCCTAATGTTCAACCAGGTTATTGTGACTGGCTGGCTGCATTGGAACTTGCTATCAATGGAAGAAACGCCCCTCTCTCTCATGATATCAGACTGAGTGAAGCAATACAAGGTCTTATTGAACAAGATAACAAGTCAGGTTATAATAAAATCACTTTGTCAATACTCGAACAACTTTGTGCAAGGACTTATGTCTCATGTTGGCCGATGCACCAGTGCAACTTAAACTTGAGCAACGTGCAAAGCAATGCGTTTGAAAAATGGAGATTTGCATTTGAACGCCATGAAGTATATTTAGAAAAGAAATTGATTTAAAATTGACTTAACAACGATGCACTTTTGAAGTTATTTTCGAAGGCAAAAGAGTTTGCATAGTGACATATTTCCAGCAGAGGACGTCATCTGTATGATATCACACACTTAGAGGAAGTTATCTGAATGATATCACACACTTAGAGGAAGTCATCAGTGATATCACACACTTAGAGGAAGTCATCAGTGATATCACACACTTAGAGGAAGTCATGAATGTGATATGACACACTTAGAGGAAGTCATTTGTATGGTATCACACACTTGGAGGACGTCATCAGTATGATATCACACACTTGGAGGACGTCATCAGTGTGATATCACACACTTGGAGGACGTCATCAGTGTGATATCACACACTTAGAGGACGTCATCAGTATGATATCACACACTTAGAGGAAGTCATTTGTATGGTATCACACACTTAGAGGACGTCATCAGTATGATATCACACACTTGGAGGACGTCATCAGTGTGATATCACACACTTAGAACTTTCTAGCCTCTTCCTTCTGACTCTGAGAGCAATTTGCAGAAAGAATCGTTCCCCACAACAGGATAAAATATTAACATTCCAAAAATATGGATGCAAGTGGTGGTGGTAGTAGTGGTGGTGGTGGTGGTGGTGGTAGAGAGGTGGTGGTGGTGGTGGTAGAGAGGTGGTGGTGGTGTGGGTAGTGGTTGTGATGTGATTGGGAGGTTGTTGTGGTGGACTTAATTATGAGAAGCTAATTGTGGTACTCAAAATGCGGGGTGGGGGGGGGTGGTAGGGGAGGAGTGCGATTGTGGTAGTGACTCTAATAATGTGATTGTGGATAGTAGAGGATAGGAGAGGGGATAAGGAGAGGTCTCTGAACGCGTTCTATAAAGACAGGAATCTATATGACCCTCTGCTACGAGGGCCTATATACCTATAGGACAGCTAGTTTTAGAGAACGAAAGTGAGCTGTGTGAGCGTCGTGGCCTTAATCTCACTATACCTTCAACTCGTCTGCCTCTATGTAACCACTGTTGTCTCTGTCGTAAGCTTTCCATATCTGTAAGAACGAAATGGGAGAGGCGATGATGGGAGGGGGATAAACACAGAGAAAAGGTCCACACGTTCACATAAACGTTCACATACACGTTCACATACACACACACAAGTGGGACCGTGGTCATTATTTCGACATTGAAGGCGGATTCTTACCTTCAGTTCAACACTGTCTATAAAGCCATTATGGTCAGCGTCATATTGTTTCCATATCTGAAAAGGACAAATTGGGGGATGTAATTCTGGAGTTGATTAGTGGAGATGGAGGGAGGAGGCTTCTTGGAGGGGATCCTGTAACTCTTGGAGGAGGAGGAGGATGAAGATAAGGCGAAGGAGAAGCAGCAGAGTGACAGGAAGAGAAGGAACAGCAACATTACGAACTGCGTGAAAGGAAAAGGAGAATAAATCAATGTCGAATTAAATCAAATAATTGTTCAGAAAAAATTACTCAAGTCTGATTTCATTAATTACACGACGTAAACGACCATTTCAAGCTCACAGAACTACTGAACTACACCCAGATAACTGTTAGTAACTATCTTCAGTAATGTCACAAATGTCCCAATCAGGAAATCGAACTTTATTTTTATTTTACAAAAATTTTATACAAGATTTTCGTTAGAAAATAACATTTATTTAGATTAGTGAATCTAAAGGGGAATCTAAGACCTTTAGAAACATGATATAATTACCAGGCATGATTTAATGCTTCGTTAATAACTAAGTACGTTACTAATCATAGAAAGTATGATTTAAGGCCGCGTTAGCATGATATAAGGCTTTTATATCATGGTACTCTCTGGGACTATCACGGTACTGGCTGGGACTATCACGGTACTGGCTGGGACTATCACGGTACTGGCTGGGACTATCACGGTACTGGCTGGGACTATCACGGTACTGGCTGGGACTATCATGGTACTCTCTGGGACTATCACGGTACTGGCTGGGACTATCACGGTACTTTCTGGGACTATCACGGTACTGGCTGGGACTATCACGGTACTGGCTGGGACTATCATGGTACTCTCTGGGACTATCATGGTACTGCTGGGACTATCATGGTACTGGCTGGGACTATCACGGGACTGGCTGGGACTATCACGGTACTGGCTGGGACTATCATGGTACTGGCTGGGACTATCACGGTACTGGCTGGGACTATCACGGTACTGGCTGGGACTATCATGGTACTGGCTGGGACTATCATGGTACTGGCTGGGACTATCATGGTACTGGCTGGGACTATCACGGTACTGGCTGGGACTATCACGGTACTGGCTGGGACTATCATGGTACTGCTGGGACTATCATGGTACTGGCTGGGACTATCATGGTACTGGCTGGGACTATCACGGTACTGGCTGGGACTATCACGGTACTGGCTGGGACTATCACGGTACTGGCTGGACTATCATGGTACTGGCTGGACTATCACGGTACTGGCTGGGACTATCATGGTACTGGCTGGGACTATCACGGTACTAGCTGGGACTATCACGGTACTGGCTGGGACTATCATGGTACTGGCTGGGACTATCACGGTACTGGCTGGGACTATCACGGTACTGGCTGGGACTATCACGGTACTGGCTGGGACTATCATGGTACTGGCTGGGACTATCACGGTACTGGCTGGGACTATCACGGTACTGGCTGGGACTATCATGGTACTGGCTGGGACTATCACGGTACTGGCTGGGGCTATCACGGTACTGGCTGGGACTATCATGGTACTGGCTGGGACTATCATGGTACTCTCTGGGACTATCATGGTACTGCTGGGACTATCATGGTACTGGCTGGGACTATCACGGTACTGGCTGGGACTATCATGGTACTGGCTGGGACTATCACGGTACTGGCTGGGACTATCACGGTACTGGCTGGGACTATCATGGTACTGGCTGGGACTATCATGGTACTCTGGGACTATCATGGTACTGGCTGGGACTATCACGGTACTGGCTGGGACTATCACGGTACTGGCTGGGACTATCACGGTACTGGCTGGGACTATCACGGTACTGGCTGGGACTATCATGGTACTGGCTGGGACTATCACGGTACTGGCTGGGACTATCACGGTACTGGCTGGGACTATCACGGTACTGGCTGGGACTATCATGGTACTGGCTGGGACTATCACGGTACTGGCTGGGACTATCACGGTACTGGCTGGGACTATCACGGTACTGGCTGGGACTATCACGGTACTGGCTGGACTATCACGGTACTGGCTGGGACTCACGGTACTGGCTGGGACTATCACGGTACTGGCTGGGACTATCACGGTACTGGCTGGGACTATCATGGTACTGGCTGGACTATCACGGGTACTGGCTGGGACTATCACGGTACTGGCTGGGACTATCACGGTAACTGGCTGGGACTATCATGGTACTGGCTGGGACTATCACGGTACTGGCTGGGACTATCACGGTACTGGCTGGGACTATCACGGTACTGGCTGGGACTATCACGGTACTGGCTGGAACTATCACGGTACTGGCTGGGACTATCACGGTACTGGCTGGGACTATCACGGTACTGGCTGGGACTATCACGGTACTGGCTGGGACTATCATGGTACTGGCTGGGACTATCACGGTACTGGCTGGGACTATCACGGTACTGGCTGGGACTATCACGGTACTGGCTGGGACTATCATGGTACTGGCTGGGACTATCACGGTACTGGCTGGGACTATCACGGTACTGGCTGGGACTATCACGGTACTGTCTGGGACTATCACGGTACTGGCTGGAACTATCACGGTACTGGCTGGGACTATCACGGTACTGGCTGGGACTATCACGGTACTGGCTGGGACTATCACGGTACTGTCTGGGACTACCAAAAATAAACAAAATTGAGTGTTACACACACACACACACACACACACACACACACACACACACACACACCACACACACACACACACACACACACACACACACACACACACACCACACACACACACACACCACACACACACACACACCACACACACACACACACACACACACAAACAACACACACACACACACACACACACACACACACACACACACACACAAAAGAAGCTGATTGAAGAGGCAAACGCCATTCATAACTTTAAAAACAAATATCATAGGGAAATAGGCCCTGAGTCATTGCATTAAACAACCAACGGTTGGAAAAGCTGGGTCCAATAGCTGGAGCTCAACACTGCAGGCCCAAGAGCTGAAGCCTAACCCCCATACCACAAAAATGAGCGAGTCCACATGCAGGGAGGAGAGGGAATATGCTCTTCAATACATATGTTAATTTGCTTAAATTTAACACATCCCATCTCTCTCTCTCTCTCTCTCTCTCTCTCTCTCTCTCTCTCTCTCTCTCTCTCTCTCTCTCTCTCTCTCTCTCTCTCTCTCTCGCTCTCTCTCTCTCTCTCTCTCTCTCTCTCACCTTCTCAAACATAATAGAGCACCACACCAGGACACCTGATACGAGACACCAACAGAGTGGAGAGACCACACTACATTTTTCACAACTTAAAGATGGTATCATAAGACAGAGATTCAGGGGAAACTAGCATAAAAAATACCTCCACAAGTACTCATAGAAAACGCGGGTATTTAGTGAGAGGCTAATTTTCATAGTACCCCTTATTTTGTCCGCTGGGAAGGTCATAGCATACAAAATATGATGTATTATTTGAGAGCAGCGAGATGGGTTCGGAATAGATGTATAAGAATGTACTCGTTTCATAAACACGGCCTCCAGGCAGTTGATAGACTCTATCTTAACTCACTAATTAACTATATTTGCAATTGATGCTGAACTGTTGTGGATAAGTTGATTGGCCAGCTGCACGAAGCTGCAAGATGACTCTGAACACAAATAAATGTGGCAAGTGGTTGCTCGAGTTCAACTCTAGCACATGCAAGATATTGAAGATTGCCACTAGGGAAACTAGTCTTGATAGCTCCTCGAATAGCCTTAAGAAAGAAAAGAGGTTCGAAGAAATATTAAAGGAACTAAACCTCATATCCTGACAGCAGAAACAAAAGTTAAGGGAGACATGATCACGCTCCACAAAATTCTCAGGGTGATATCTCGTCCTGATAGA